CAGCAAGCAATCCAGCACGAAAACAAGCACCGTGTGCCGCTGGCTTAAGTGAGTGACAGTTCATCCGAGTGTTAGGTTAAGAAGTTAATACACAGTATTACATTTATGATATCTCTTTTAAATCTGTTGCGAAATATCCGCCGGACATTTCGGACATCGACGGATATTTTCGGACAAAATTTATGAAGAAAACGAAAGGAAAATATCAGATAAGTATCGTTTATATAACACACACAAATATATAAACAATAAAGGATTTGGAGATGCTGTATATCAGCTTCTTAACTTAACACTCGGACGAACTGTCACTCACTTAACGCAGCGACACACAGCTGACCACGCGCGGCACAAGGAAAGGGCTATCGCACACAAATTGACATAACTGCATATGCATAGCATAAGACCGTATGTACCAATGAGCATCGAATATTAAGTCGCCATATTGTTCGATGCTTAATATTCGATGCTCATTGGTCTATACGATCTTATGCTATGCATATGCAGTTATGTCAATTTGTGTGCGATAGCCCAAACTTTTATAGTTTCTGCATACAGAACGCGGTAATGTTTACCGCGCGGCGGAAGTCCGTACGACTGCCAATCAATATGTTGTTTTTCCGTAAGAGCTAGAAGGTTATTACGGAAAGCAGCATATTGATTGGCTGTCGCGCGGATTTCCGCCGCGCGGCAAGCGTTAAAGCCTGTTCTACAATACGTCGTATGTCGGAGTCGGATGGCGCAAGTCGTTTGTCGTATATCGTTGAACGGATTGTGAATGCGACAACTATTCTACAATTGTGTCGCACAGTCGGCAGTATTATGCACGAATTTAAAATCAGCAAAGCATTGTAAAACTAAGAAATGGATAATTTAACAACGATCAGAAGCTTAAATATATTATTAATGGTAATAAAATTGTTAAAAATAAAAATACTTTTACGAAGACGACGAAAAACAATAAGAAGATGGTGGGTAAAACCCCACATATCCACAAATATAAGAAATGAGTTAGGTATAATTTTTCTAATCGGCTTAAATTTCAATGACTTTTCATAGATTTATAGAATTTGTATTGCAATTCCAACTAGTACTTGGTATAGTACTTAGTGCTGAATAACGCTGGAATCTGGTCACATACTGGAATGAAACAAACATTTGAAAACAATATGCTATTTATTCCAGAAGCTCGTCCTTTACCCAATACAAATTGCCTATTGCCATTTTCTATTGTTGGAGACAAAGGTTTTCCATTCAAAACATATTTAATGCGACCATATGCAAAGAAAAATTTACAAAACAATGAGCAAAAAATGTTTAATTATCGATTGTCAAGAGCACGTCGAGTGGTCGAAAATGCTTTTGGCATTCTTGTGGCACGATGGCGAATACTACAAAAACCTTTAGCTCTGAAATTAAATACTGTGGAGAAAATAGTGCAAGCTATAACTTGTTTGCATAATTATATTATAAGTACCAATTTACAAATTAATTCTTATTTTAATAAAGGAATGATTGATCGAGAGGTAACTAATGGTGAGATAATACCAGGGAATTGGCGAAATGAAATAGAAGAAACAGAGTTTATTCATCCTTTAGGGCGAGTTGGTGCCAACATTGG